GAAGAAGAAGTCACGCATCACTGCACTTTACACCTCTGCTGTTTCCTGACTGGCCTTTGCTGATACACACACCTTGTGTGTGTGTGTGTGTGTGTGTGTGTGTGTGTGTGTGTGTGTGTGTGTGTGTGTGTGCGTGTGTGTGCGTGTTGCCTGTGGTGCGGCTGTGTAATCCACCACACCCAGCGTCCATGTTAATTGCACCCACTCTGAGCCATCTGTGTCGTAAAGATGGTTCTTGACCTTCGGTATGGTTCTTTCTTCGGCTTGGACATCCTTAAATTGGGGAGGATGCGACATCCGAACCCGAAATGAGTCAGAAGGACGTTTGTACGTGTCGCAGGATGCCGGGACTGGAGTTGTCATCTTATATGTAAAAGGCAAACTCAAAGTGGAAGTCACTCAAAACTCCATCATTCTTATAAACTGAGGTGATGACGTGTAAAACAAATCATTGATCGTGTAAATATAGTAGAAAAGGAAGAAACTATTATGTGAATGTGGAAAAACGTGTTTAAAAATGTTAACTATTTTGGAAAGTTGAAAGTTGTTTGGAAAAAAAGACGAATTGAAACCATAAAGAAAAAAAATCACTACTGTGAAAATGTTAAAAATTTTAAAGGTGGTAGAAATGAAGATATATTTTTTAAAAAGTGGTCAAATGGTGAAGAAATTTGTAATTAAACAATTGTGCAAATGTGAAAAATTGTTTTACAATTTGTAACTACTACACACATTTGAAAACTTGTATGAATAACAAAAATCTAATTTAGGTGAATGTGAACATGTTTTGGAATGGTTAAAAAAAATATATCTGAAATTGAAAACTCTGACCAAATTTAAATAAAAATTAAAAATTGTCAAAAAAAATAAAATTGAACCATTACACAAATAAGAACATATTGTTTCAACAAATATCTTAAAACACAAAGAAATCTAAATTTAAACTATGATGCAAATTTGAAAGTTGATTGGTTGCTTGAAAAAAACTACATCTGAAAATATGTGCTCATGTATAAAAACAACCAAGGAAAAAGAACGTCTGAATTTTTAAACTATCATACAAATGGGAATTTTAGTTTCAAAATGGTATTTTTAAAAATGTAAAAATTTGGAAAGTATCTTTAAATAATTGTTTAAAAAACTGACATCAAATCCCGGAATGGATTGCAAATGTGTGAGAAAGAAAAAATAAAAACTTGTTAAAAAAAAAAAAATCTGAAAGCGCTGATTGTCAAAAGGGCCTGTTTAGTGACACAGACGATAACCCCATTTCGTTTGCACTTTGAATTTGAACCGCTCCTTAGTTTTTTTGTTTTTATGGTTGGGGGCGGGGGCATCACATGAGCGGGACCATTAAATCGCTCCGGCTCTGACTTGCTGAGTGAACTGGATGACGCGCTTGGCAGGCAGATTGTATCATAAGAAGCACCCTTGTCCCGCCTGTGTCATCCCGTCCCACTCTTTTCATCCGGCCGCTGTCCGTCCCTAATCGGGATGACAGGCAGACGCTGGCCGCAGAAAGACGCAGCCAATGAAAGGGAGCCTCAAAGACTTTGTCAGATACTCACACTTCAGGCGGGTGCTGATCATTGCTGAATATCTCGGTTTTCGACACCCCTGTTGCACAAATGAACATTACAAAAAAAAAACAAAAAACAAAAACGTTCCCCCGAGGAAATGCTCCAAAATGATCATACAGTAAACCTCCATCTATTGCAGGGGAGACAATTTTATTTGTATTTAAAACAACCACATAGCCGCCGCTATCTTAACGCTAACATGCAATAGGAAACAGAATATACCCATGAGTAAACAATGTACATCTAAATGGCAAATATTTAACACGGGCATGTATTCTTTATCCTCTGTGAAGAATAATTACTATTACTGCCATACTGAGAAGAGGAGCCGAATGAATGTGTGAGTGGTTGTTTGTGAGCTGTGGCAGATAGTCGCTGTGAACATTTTACCGTGCTTCATAAAAATATCAACAGCATCACCAATTCACTGACTTCATCTTGACTTTCATCACGCTAGCCTCGACAACAGAAAATCGCATTCAACCTATTGTATGGTTGCTGTCACCGTCTAATTATCTTCATGGGGCAACCCACATCGGTTGTGCGAGCGATTGAAAGAGAATGTGAGCAGGTAAAGAAGGATGCGGGGGAGGAGGAGGAGGAAAAGTAGCGGCGCAGCTTGTTTATAAGCGTTCAGAATGTTCTGTGCTGTAAATTTACCTGGAAATGTCATCGAGTTCCCCACACAAATGTGCACACACGCGCACACACACACACGCACACACACACACACACACACACACACACACACACACACGCACGTGCACTTAATAGTTCCATCACTGTGATATGACTTTCGTCCTCCTCAATTCTGCAGCGTGTCCTCTTGTTCTTTTTTAAATTTTCTCTCCTGCGAATAAAGTCTGCTTGAGCATATACAATGTGGACAAAAGTATTGGGACATGTAGCTGCCAGCCAGTGGCAGTAGGCGGGGGGACACCCTGAACCGGTTGCCAGCCAATCGCAGGGCACACAGAGACAAACAACCTTCCACGCTCACACTCACACCTAGCGACAATTTAGAGTGTTCAATCGGCCTGCCATGCATGTTTTTGGAATGTGGGAGGAAACTGGAGTACCCGAAGAAAACCCACGCAGGCCCGGGGGAGAACGTGCATACTCCACGTAGGGAGGCCGGAGCTGGAATTGAACCCGGTACCTCTGCACTGTGAGGTCAAAGCGCTACCCACTCGACCACCGGGCCACCCTCTTGCTGAAATCTGATTGGGCAAAAATCATCATAAAAACAAAACAATAACATGACAAAACACAATAAAAGCAAGATGGTGAAAACAAGAATATACTATTTGACAAAAAAAAAAAAAAAGCAGCAATCATCAATAAAGTTTTCTGGTCAGGTTTAAAAAAAAAAAAAAAAAAAACGGAGCCAAGCTCTGTGTCCCCTGGGACTGATCGTTCATTCTTTGCCCCTGTAGTCTACGTGTAGTCGGCGCACCACACAGGATGACAACATAGCCCCTTTCGCTTTGTTTTATTTTGGGTCCTGTTTCTTATCAGGCGGTGCAGAGCTTGTTTCCTGCGTCTGTCAGAGAATAGCCAGTGAGCAGGGGAAAAAAAAAGAATCCTGTTTGTAAATCACACCACAGGGACACTTGTTTTTGTTGGGGGGGGGGGGGGGGGCGCTTCGGCAATTTTACTACTACTGTTTCATGCTGTCAATAAGGGCTGCGGGGCAAACAACTTGCTTGCTTTGTTGTGCTAACTAACATTATTTGCCATAAACGTCAATAATTTATCATTTAAAGTTGTTCCAAAATGACAGTTTTAGTCAAACAAAATAAATAAATAAAATAAAGTTGTGTTTTCTACAGTGTGCGCTTGACTGAGCCTGTACTGCACAGTGGACATAACACTCTGTACCAAATGGACGTTTTTCATCACATAAGAACATGAGAACAAGACCATTTCTCAACTTTTTCCACCACTAATGAGATTTATAACCGATACGACACATCTCCGAGTCAAGTTCACTCTTTTCGGGTTGGCCAGGGTGGGTGATATTTGGGGATGTGTTTGTGTTTAGAATGAACTAATCACATTCGAACCCATGTCACTCTTGCCGCCAGTGCTTCGGACGACCTCCAAATGAAGTTCAGCTGTTCTCATAGACTTGTCATGACATTTTTTAAATTACTTAGTTACTTAGTATCAGTATTACCGCACTGATAATTGAAGCTCCAGCTTTCCGCATACTTGAACAATTGTTGTTGATCAATACTCCACAGAACCAGACACTTGAAAGTGCTCAAGGACTTTCTGCATCATGCACACCTAAAGTTATACTACAATTACTGCTACTGGTCACTTAAAAATGGCGTCAAGTTTATCTGCACCAACTGTACAACCATCACAATATTGTAAGTATTATACGACTGATCACCCACATTGCACAGCTGTCATTGGGCGGTACAGTACTACTACACAATGGTACCCTTACATTTCAGAAAGTATTTCTATACTTATATGTCATGTCTTTGTTTATCGTAGCTGCTTGTCATTGCAATAGTAGGGTAGCTCATAATACCGGAAACAAATTCCCTGTGTGTTTCACATTTATAGCCAACAAAGATGATTCTGATTAGTCGCTTACTTTTGCTGTTATTTAGAGACTGTAGTTAGCTAGTTATGGTAACTTAGTTAGATTTATTTAGTAACTTATGTAGTTACAGTTACTTATTTTCAGCCTCAGTATGTGGCTGTGTTCGGAATTAACCAATTGCGTTCAAATTCATGTTAAACCGGAATCAGCAAAACACCTGCCACCGTGTAAAGTGTCTTGGATTCACACCAAATGAAGTTCAGATGTTCTTGTAGGCTTGCCCTGACATTTTTTTAAATTACTTTACATTGCTTTTCTTACCTAAGCACTTGTATTTCATGTTTTACACTTTTTTTTCCTTCTCACACCAAAACAACTGTTTATTACTTAATTGAGAAAACAAATTGTTCTCTTCATTTTTCTTTTTATTCAGCCGTGAAATCAATCATCAATATCAATCCGTCAAAAGGCTGTGCTTACATACTTTTGAGTTGACATTCCCTAAAGTAATAACCATACCATTATTCATGACGAATAATTCAATGCGACCATCCGAGTCATCAACCTGAGACATGATTGACGTCAATACGAGCAACAACGTCGGATATGACGTCACTTCGTCGGCTAGCTTGGGCCAGTGTCCATGGCAACGCCGTGCGCGTGCTGGACGCCCCTGACGCCAACTCGAAGCGTGGAGGAGAGAGAGAGAGAGAGAGAGAGAGAGAGAGAGAGAGAGAGAGAGAGAGAGAGAGAGATAAGCCACATTACGCACCCCTCCACCAGGTTACGAAGCCCTCCGCCCTCGACTCCTCTCCCTCCCCGTCTCCCAGTCAGTGTGGGCGGGCTTCGCGCGGAAGCGTGGGAGTCGAAACGCGACACCCAGAGGACAGAGCGAGGCGAGAGGGTAGAAGAAGAAGAAGAAAAAGAAGAAGAAGAAGTGAGGGGGGGCAGGACGGAGGAGTAGGAAGAAGAAGAGTGGCCGCGAGTGGCGTGAGCGTCGGAGAAGCGGGAGGTCAAGAGAGGGAAGAAGAAAAAAGAAAAAGTCCGACAAGAGCGACGTCAAAGCTCGGAGACATGTCGAACGGCGACGAAGATGCGGCCGAGGCGAAGTAAGCACTCGCCGGAGAGTTCGCGAAACAACTACCTGGAAGAGGGAAAGCGCTTTTCACCTCGCCTCGACCGCCTTTTTTTTGGGTTGTTGTAGTTGAGAGGAACTTTAAGAAGCACCGCCGAGCACTAACGGACCCTAGCCCCTAAGTTCACCGGAGAGCGAGCCCCCTCGGTCGGGCTCGGAGAAAGGCGAAGTTCTCCCCCACCAAGCGGGGCGAGGAAGTGCCTGCGAGAGTCGCACTCCATTCAGCGGAGTTTGACCAACTTTTACGGGGAAAATGAAGACCCCCGGAGACAATGGTAAGTGCACTTTTTTTTCACTCGTATCGTTTGCTCTTTTAAGTCAACCCCCCCCCCCCCCATGTTATATTGGTACCCATACGAATCTTAAATAGGTGTTTAAAAAATACACACAAATTCAAAGGTAAAACTTATATTGGATGATCTTACCTCTCTGCCAGTTTTCCTTTTCCCTTCTACACTTTTACTCCTTTTTGTTTTGATCATCGAACATGCCGCATGACCACCCCAAACCTGTTGATTTCAACCACGCAACAGCTTGTTTCTTGTCTGGAACGCTATTAATCATTTGGCATTTATTATTGTTCTATTTTGACAAGGAAGTGGATAGTGGTGTCTCCTGCTGGTGATTGAATTGCTGCAGGTATATAGACGGCTATGAACTTAGCGAGACCAATGGGCCCACTCATAGTCAACTGAGCTTTACAGTACGTTCGCTGTATGTTATGTATCTAAGTATGTGTGTGTATGTGTGTCCAATTCCTGAAATGCTTGCAGACGTTTCTTCTCGCCAAGACAAATCCGAACCCTTTCAGAAACTAAAAGAGGAAGTGTGAGCATTTGTGCCAGCAGTGCAAGTTTATTATGCGTGTGAGTTCGACTCAATAAACTTGGCCTTATCCTACAAAATTGACTCTGCTTCGAAGAAAATCCTTCCAGGTGGTGCGATTGGACGTATTGCATGAATTTTCTGTGTGGCAACGCATACATATTTCACAACTTTTTTTTTTTCTCTCTGGAGTAGTGGGACCACTTTCTGCTCCCTTCCCCCCACCACCATGTCCCCTCCTGACTCCCGCTGCACCCATGGTTCGTCCCCCCCACCCCTGGCTCTCCACATTCCTACACACACACACACACACACACACACACACACACACACACACACACACACACACACACATACTGCAGTAAGACAAGGCTACCAGGACATCCCCACGGTGAACTTGTAGACCTTTTATTACAAGGAACTCTGTTAAGTGTGGCCTTCTGGGAAGATACTAAATATTGATTGTGTTTATAGGTCCGATGTATAAGCCTGAGCGTGCTTGAGTTTGTCTGTGGGTCATGTGTTCTGTGAATGTCAAAAGTGTCCTTTTCCTCTTTTGTTAATGCTTGTGTTATGGCAAGGAAATGTTTTCAGTACCACTGCATATTGGTGATTGTGCCAATACGAGGCGTCAACTAATAATGTCATTTTAAGGTGAATTTTAGTGTCAAATACAGAATCTTTCCTCAGTGCAGTGTAATTTCCTCGAGGTCATACCATTGGGGATTTTAGTCAACCTTTGCAGAGGACAGGCATGGCTCTAAAGTCACGAAAGTCAGAGTCTGAGCGACCACCAAGTCCCACAAACCTTGAAAAATTAACTATGGATCTTTTGTTTCTTTAGCAGTGTGACAAGATTTCCCAAAAATGATAGTCTTTCAATATGTCTGGTCGGAATGGCCACTCCACAACCTGAGCACAACACTCCATGAATGTGTTTTGTTGTTATTGTTGTTTTTTTTTTTTTTGGTGTGTGTGTATCAGTACAAAATGTATTTTTGGGAAATGTTCTTTTTTTTTTTTTCCTGATATCTTTGGGAAATTTGTTTCCCAAAAAAAAAAAAAAAACGGCGTCAAAATAGAGAAAAACACTATGACTTGATTGTTTGTCTCCTTGGCCCATTTGTTTGTCCTTCTCAGGGAAGCCCTTCTCCGCTTGGCTGACTCGTTTCAATTAAAAACATCCAACAATGAGCTTGTTGGGCCTTCACCATGAGCATTCTGAGCAAAGTTATATGTATGGATACGAATAAATATTTTACAATTGGAACCATTTCACCCTGGAACATATTATTCCCTATTGTTCCAAAACACATCGTTTCCACTGTAGTACCGAATCTCACGTCATCACATGTCAATGTTTGCATATGTTTCGGTCTCTTAATTGATTAATCCCATGTGGATGCGCCTCAGAGGCATTGCCTAACAACAAATCTGACCTTTTGTCGTGCCGTTTATTGAACTATTTAATCTGGCGCTGATCCCCCCCCCCCCCCTTGATCTCCTGCTGTTCCCCGCATCTGCAATCAGAACGCAAGTTTTAACCCTTAACCCCATCCTCTGCTCCACTGAGTGAGTTTGTTGCAAATGATTACGCCGCTTGTTACGTGAACTGTTGCTTTATTGCCGAGCCACCGACACTGATGGCTTTGCTCTCAAATTTGAGTACATGCAGTTTGAGAGGGACAGACATTTCACAGGTTGCATCAGTCTGGAATTCCAATTGAATGCCCGTATTTGCTTTTTGGACGCTATTTACATGCATGTCTCACATATGAAGCAACTGACTTGCGCAGATGCCCAATCCGCACATCTCATTCACTGCACAAACGTCAACACCGGGCAGTGGAAGTAAATAATACATAAATCGTAGAAGTATTAAACATCACTTCGGATTTCGTTTTCCTGGGCTGATGCTTCCCTCATGGATGTAAATGAGGTTAACCTCCACTTTACACCACTGGCTACTGTCAAGACTTATTTTGCTTATTGAATGATGGATGCGCCCCAAATGTTGCGTTTTTAAACTCTTTTGAATGGTTTTTTTTTTTTTTTTTTTTTGGGGTCGGGGGTGAGATATGGGTGATCGGTGTATTTAATGATGACAAGCACGGATTGATCACGTTTTATTCAAACTGCACTTTTACGCCATGTTGACATATATCCGATAAATCTGATTTAAAAAAAAATTTACTTATGGAAGAGGTTTGGCTCCGATCTGAAGATACCCGATGTCATGCATAAATACAGCCTAACCGCACACCAAGCGACATCTGTCGTGCAAATGAGTTTGGCAACTGGTTTTCATGAGTGACAGGCAGTGGTACAACATTTTTATCTCTGGTGAACGTCATCGCATGGGAACAGCCAATTAAAAAGATGAACGTCACACACAAAAAAAACCCCAAAACAAATCAAGTTTCAGTCAAGCAATCCGCTTCTTCCTCGATAATCCCGCCATGTTTTTGTGGTTCAGTTAAAAAGAGAAATACAATCCAGTGGAGTCTCAAAAACGTATACAGGATCACAGTTTTTGGTTTAAAAAAAAAAGGACATTCACTTGGATAACGCTGATCTAGATTTGGTCCTCAAAGCGTTATTTAACCACTGATGACGCAACACCAGGAGCTACTGGGGGTTCAATATCTTGCTCAAGGAAACTTTGACATGGTCGGCTGGGGGTTGAGACGACCACTCTACTAGTGAGCCATGCTGTCCCGTTGCGATATGTTGGAAGATGTGTAGTACAGTACTCAAACCCTTGGTGTGCAGCAAAAAAAAAAAATCATTGCAGTGTCATGTTTTTTGCAACGGTCCACTTCAGTCAGTTTCGGCTGCGTGTTCGGTGTGCCGCGGCCTTAAGATGAGAACAGGACCAGTTGCCATCGTTTCAATGCCTTGAAAAAAAAGAATCACCTGGATGAATGAGAATAGTCACAGACTATTGAAATTGACCCACAGCTCACAAGTTTTGAGTTTGAAGCCTTCAGATGATTTATTTATGTATTTATCTATGTATTGATTGATTGTGAAGAACAAGCAAGCTTTGAATAAGAAGCCAGGTGAGTGAAGCGCTAAAAGAAAATATATCTTGGGGTCATAGAATGTCCTCGCATTGAGCTGCTGTTGACCACAACTCGCACCCAGACCCTCACTCTGAGCTATAACTGGCCCGAAGACCCCCCTGTATTGTGTGTATTGTCCACTTTTGTTCAAAATGTTGTGGCCTTGAAGACCTTTTTTTGTTTTTCCGTACATTAACTCTAATTATGACTTGACTGCTGCTGTCACGTACGTTACTGATCTGACTTACATACAAATTTGGGTTACTTTGCCACCGTAGGGACAGAACTTCACGATGCCAGGAGAGAACTTAAGGGAGAGGGAATGGGGCTTAAATGGCCCCTGGTAGGAAAGGGGATTTGCCCGCCCCTAGATATAGGCGCACATGTCATTAAAACTAGCCTACTGTATTCGTCGGGCTTTATCCCGACTACACACTCATCGCCATTTTCCTCCTTCATTCATCTCTCCCCCTGATGTGATAAGGACTGGTGTGTGTCTTTGTGCAATGGAATTGCATAGTAGCTGGACCCCTGGCTCTGGAGTGGCCATTGTGCCTGTGTGTGTGTGCGGGGGTGGGGGTGGCGGGGTGTGGGACAATGGTGGCAGAGGCGAGCAGGCCCCCGTGGCTGATTGTGCGAGGACTCGTGGGGGCCAGGGACCTCTCATTGTCGGCGTAATGGTGCCGAGTGGCGGGTAGTGTGCCGCCCGCGTGGTGAAGAGCGGGCATCCCCGACAAACTCCAATCGTTCAACAGTTCATCCGTCACCTTTCAGTCTTTGCTGCGACGCAAAACACAAGGCCGCCTCAAGGTTTAGCATGAAGGGACAGCTTGTCGACCGCAGCGATGATGTGTACAGTCTTGCTCACACTGCTGACTGCAGCAAAAAAAAAAAAAAAAAACAAGCAAAAAAACAAAACAAAAACAGTATCACCCATTATCCAGATACAGTTTTATAGCCTGATTTATGGGACGGGAAGACCTGCTGAGATCAGGCTCGGCCAACGTGGCTAAAATAGATGGCGCCTTTTATGAAAAACACTTATCTTCTGTGAGATCAGCAGCGAGGAACACGCAAAAAGCCCTGAGGGGTGACAGCTTGTTTTTTTTGTTGTTTTTTTAAAAAAATCTCATTCTATTCTATACAAAAGCACATGTTTTATGCAATTGTAACCGAAAAGCGCCCGGGAGCGCCAGTCTCGATCACAGTTTTTCATCGAAGTTTTGTTGTGATAGTCAGTGAGCGGAGCCGAAGTACACTGGTCTTTTTCAAAACTAAGAATCTTCACCACTCTTGGGTAAGAGAAAGAAAGAAAAATAATTCTCTGGTCAAATTGTTGGCTTCATCACAATAAAAGTAAAGGTGACATGACTTCAACTGTCTTG